CCCCGCTGAGAGAATCTAGAGGGGGGCCTGGGAATCTGCATTTCACAAGGTGCCCGTAGGATGGCTGCTCCCTGAAGACTGAGAAACACTAACGCAAACTGCTCCCGCTTCAACAGGCCCAGGACCTGCGCCTTCAAGCCTACCCTTCACAGGGGGAGAGTCAGTCCCACAGGGGAGGTGTTTCAGTGCCAACAGCCTGCCAGGGCGGTCACCCCCGCCCCGCGTGCCCCCGCGCCCAGGGCGCCGCGCGCTTCACCTGTAGGCGCCCAGGTTGATGCAGCTGATGCCCAGGTTGTACCGGGAGCGGATGAAGCCGGGCTGCAGCTCCAGCGCGCGCGTGTAGGCCTCCACCGCCTCCTCGCTGCGGTCTCCGTTCGCCAAGGTCGCCCCCAGGCGGTTCCACAAGGAATAGTCCTGGGGAGAGCGAGAGCGCCCTGCGGCCCGGCACAGGCGCGGGGCGGGCCCCAGGCCCTGCACCGGCCGCGGCTGCGAACTCGCGGGGGCTCAGGGGCAAGGGCCAGGACGAGCCAGTTACTCAAAAATCTTTACGGACTGCTCCGTGAAATGACTCCCGGCCCTCAAGGAGCCTACCATTGGATGCGCTCAGGCCACTCCTGTTTCTATCTTAAGTATGACCAGCCAGGGTAGCTGTCATTAGTACTGATCACTTCCAGCTACTGGATGCAGGGAAGTAAAGTGCAGCAAAAATGTACAAAGTACATCCTGTGGAAATTTCTTTTTTAAAACAAAGAACCTTATGGTTTCTTGCTGCACACTTACCTCTGGCCGAACGGTTAAGGCAGCGTTAAATGCATCGATTGCTCTATTAAATTCTCCGCTCAGGTGGAACAGTACCCCCAAACCTGTCTGCAGGTCTGGGTCGATCAGATCTCCATTTTGGTGGGCAGCTTCCAGATATAACTCCTTCACTCCTTCCAGAACAGAGCTAACAGGGGGGAAAAAATTAGATTTGTAATCCAAATAGTCTGAACGTAAATGATTTACGATTATGTTCTCTGTTCATTACAGACTGGAAAAAATCTTGCTTAAAATATCTTAGTGTAACGAGAGGACTATTACTATACCAGGTTAAAATAACCTGCTGATTTTCATGAAATATTTTGTCCTACACGGATCCAAACAGTGCTAGGTAAGGAGAGATCCATTGACCCCCAAGTGCCAATGTAGAAAACCCCAGGGCCGAAGTCCCGAGGCCTCAGTGAGAAATAATTTGACATAATGATTTATTGCTGGTAGAAACCAAATTCCAGAAGAAAGGACTTCCATTTCTCCCCATACCTAATTCTCAGGCTTTATAAAACTTGGCACATTGCTACTTATTATAATTTATTTTGGGTTAATTATGTGTCCAAAGCATTTGGCTTTAAAGTACGGTACTCAGATAAATGTCTGTGAGTACCCCTGGGGCAGATCATGTGTCCCAAAGGCTGGCACTGCTCTTCTGGCAGAATGCTGTCCCACAAACCATCTGGAGTGGGTGCCGGTGGGGACCTGCGGCTCCTTCATTACCATTATGCTAATTAATTGCGTGTGTGGGTGTAATTTAATGATGTGGATACCTATCAACCGGAGACTTAGACATCCTCCGGGTGAGGCCTGGAGATCCCTTCTTGCTCTTCACAAGGTATTTGTACTTTGGATTTTGCCTAATCCAATTCTTGAGGGCTTCACAGGCATCCTGCTGATGGCCGGTGTTCGTGTAACTCACGGCCAAAGCCATCAAAGCTTTCAAGTTGTTAGGCTGCAGTTCTAAGCACCTGGAGGAAGGGGAAAAGAAGCCAATTTCAGATTTTGTTTTGTTTTTTGGAGCCAGTGTCTGAGCAGTTCTTTAGAAAATTTGAGGCCTTTATTAATTAAATGGTACAAAAGCATTGCTAAGTTTATGTTAAGCCCCTGGAGAATATCACATTCATTATCTACATAAAAACTTATTTTTAAGAAAGTTAAAAACTCATCCTGATGTGTGTTAGGTTTGGTAATTTTAATAAATGATTTTGAAACTATGGAAAATGTGGCTAATCCCTGCACACAATGTATTAGTAGTTAATCTAATGAGGAATAGGGGGTATCATTATTTTAACGCTGCTCTACTATCAGTATATGAAATGCACCTTATCCACAAAGCGAATGGGCTTGAATTAAATTCAGACATCCAGAGATGAAAGATCGAGCAGTGTTTTGTAAAGGAGAGGGTTATTCTGGGTTTCCAGACTGCTGATGTGGGCTTACAGCAGGCCCAGGCTATAGCTGCTCCCCCTCGTGCTCCTCCTCTGGCCTCTAGCAAGGGCTTTTCAGACTCTGACGTGCATGGGAATCACCTGGGGATTTGGTAAGTGCAGCTTCTGATACAGCGGGTCTGGGCGGACCCGGGCTGTGCAGGTCTGACAGACGCCCAGGGGAAAACCATGCTGAGCGTCTCTGGATGAGATTTTGAGTAGCAAGCCCTAGGTGGTACCTTTATCAGAGCTTTAGGAAGAGGTTTTATACACACACACACATGTATACACACACATATGTATACATACACATATATGTATACACACATATGTATACACACACACACATATGTATACACACACACACACTTATAAGAAAGAGTCGGGACAGTGGAAATCTATTTGGTAGAGGCTGTTTCCCCCTCGGGGCCTAAATAAGGACTCTAAGCCAGCCTGGGGTAATGCTGCACCCACCCCAAGTAGTCTAGAGCTTTAGTCAGGGGCTCAGGAGTTAAACCTGCAGGTTGCTGAAAATATCTCAGGGGATGCTCTGTAGACATCAGGAGCTAAAATTGCCTTGAGATTATTTTGAGTCTATTTTGTTCTAAAGAAAACTTTCAGGTGCTGCAGAAGAATAGGACGTTAAAAGGAACTATTTATTCAATGAGCCTATTTTATGACTGCTTTTGCCATGAACTCTTCGTGCTAATGAGGGTAAATTGATTTGCATGTGGCCCCACATTGTGACTGAGGAACATTACTTCTTCATCAGGTCCTGTTTTCCAGAGCTACGCGTAAGTCATATGTGGCCTCTTAACACTTATTCTGGCCAAATTCTTTGCAGTGTACTTAAAGGTCAAATGATAAGTCTGAAACTATTAGCAGGAAGGCCATCAACAAGTGTCCGCCCGCCCATGACTTTGCACTTAGCTTCACCTACCTCTGGAGGGCGACAATCGCTGCCTGCTCATTTTCATTCTCCGCCTGAGTTATCCCGAGGAACTGCCACGCCTACAAAAAACAACTATGTCAACGCTGCAAGAGGAAGCACAAGCACTCAGCCAGTAGGCGGTTACCTGCGACAGATCCCTCTATGCAGAGCGACCTGTCTCAGATGGGAGAGTCCTGTAAAGGGAAAAACACCACATGCATTTCTTCATTCAAACTCTTGTGACATCTGGGTCAAGATACCCTGTCTCTATTTACAAGCTCTCAGTATTTATTCTTTCCTGTGATCCATGGAAACCCCTGAGCTTCTGAGATATTAGGCATCTTAAAACCAAAAGATAAGTACATAAAAGGATGCTTTTGTGAGGAAAAAAGGTAAAAAGATAACCCAGAAATGTAGCCGAGTAGTCTGAAGTTTACAATAAGGAATCTCAAGATGTACACAATAAAATTTACTCGTATAAATGAAAGTCAAGCAGTTATTAGAAGAGGCAACAGGAAATTTAGGAACTAGGGAAAACAAAACCCCTCACAATGTGTTTACAGCTCTAATACTGGGTGGGGCAAAAGTAGGTTTACAGTTTTAAGTGCATGACGCGCAGTCAGTTCCTGTTATTCATTGTATTATTTTCCATATGAACAACTGTAAACCTACTTTTGCCCTACTCTGTATAATCAAAGTGCATAAAATATATAAAATGCAATATAATGTATATGTGATTTTAAAGCCTACACTAAACTTTATATTCCACCATAAGCACTTTTTCATGTTTTTGCAAAATCTTCCTACTTATAGTTTTTAATTTAAATTTTGTTGAATGGATAGCCCATTATTTACTCGATCAATTCCCTTGTTGCTCTGAGGTTGTTTCCAACCCTTTGCTATGGTTAATAATGTGAAGAATATCTTCAAGCAGATAATGTTTTTCAGATGTAGACTGACATTTAAAAATATAACAAATTTATACTTATATACTTATTAGAACAAGAACTCTCACACCATTACAAGAGCAATGCACATTGAAAAAAAAAACACCTCTCACTACACACATTGTCCTCAAATTTGCCAGGGGTGAGGGTATATCTGAGTCTTAGGGATTTGAAAAGATTTGGGATGTGCATAACTCTCCCACTTCTGAGAATCAATGCTATGGATATTTTAAAACAAACTGTATGAAAACATGTAGAGTCATCTTAAAGTGCTATAAAATTGTATCAGCTTTTCCCCTTATGAATTATCTTTACATATACCATACAAACTCATAAAAACTAATTATTTCCCCCCAGAATATCAGGGATTCTTTGTAATCTTTCCAGTGTGCCCAGAGCAGCCTCTACCTTTATTTCACCGTCTATACATCTTAGAATGCTTCTTAAGAAAGACTGATGAAACAATCTTTCTCTGAGGGCATCTTCCTAGGCTTTGGGCATCACTTTCACCATCCACAGACCACCCATTATCTTAGTGTTGGGATCTATATAGATTCAGAAGCCCCGGGTCCTTATCTAGGATCCATTAGTAACCAAGTGTCCTAATTTTCTCATTTATGAATCTGGGATGATAATGAATACTTTTTAAAAACTGCCCAGAGTTGTGTCAAACGATATAATACTCACGAAAACACATAGCATTCAGAAATGTAAGATGACATTAGTATTTTTGAGGGGAGGGATGGCCTGTATTTTTCTATTAATACAATTTTTTTTTCTACAATGATTCAACTATCTTTCTAAAAATCCTAATATTTTGGTTCAGCATTCCAACTCTCAGTTTAATCCCATTTCATTATCCATGTTTTGACGAACAAGATACCAGGGGCTTTAGTGATCATTTTACTTGTTCTCTCAACACTAAGTACAAAGAATAGTAGTAATAAAGCTTAAATATGATGTGCCAGACACTGAACTGAGCGCTTTATCTATATGAACTAATTCAATTCTCACAAAATCCAATAAGATGGTTATTATAATTGTGATTTTCACCTTACATATGATGAGACAGAAGCTTAGAGAGTTTTAATGACTTGTCCCAGATCACATGGCTCATGGCCAACCAGCCGTAGAGCCCAGCACACTGCTGTATTGAGCCCACGCAGGAGAGCAGAGTCTAGGAGCTTAACCACTATTCCACACTGCCTTCTCAGCACCGTGCATACCCTTTCCTAAAATTTCTCAAATTTTCTGGGAACATCCCTTTTAAGATGTTTCCTGAAAATTACAAACTACAAAGGAAGACTTTATACCTGCCACTGTCTTACGACAGGCCTTCACAGGTGTGGAAGTGTCCTGGACCAAGATAGGACTGCAGAAGCCTCTTTGGTGGTCTCCCAGCCTTGTCTCCAGCCACCCTTCATGCCTCAGACAAAGGGGTTTTTCTAACATGCTCTTTCCTAGGGGTCCCTCCCCAGGGCTTTCAGGATGAAGCACAAACTCTCGTCTACCTCCTCTTGCCTCCACTCCTGCCATTCTCTCCTCCCCTCTTCCCCGATCGAATGGTTCAGGTCTCTCTGCTCAGCCAAGAAACCATTCCCTCGAAACAACTCGACTCCCCTGCTGTCTTTAATTAATCCTCTCTCCTTGAAAACTCAGCTTGGATTCACTTGTGGGGAGGCTCAGTCAGAGTCTTGCTCTTGCTCTCCTAGCCTCCTGTGCATCTGCATTTATTACACTGCCTTGGTTTATTTACTTGTCCCTCCAGACAGTCCACTAACGTGTCTTCTGCACTGTTCTATTTTTCCAGCTCTTCGGTGTTCTGAGCCAGTGCGCGGCACAAGTCCTGGGACATAGTATACGTTCAATAAATGTGGAGTGACTAAATCAGTGGTGAGACAGGGTGTGGCTCTAGACCCCGACAAGACTGCACACTGCACCCTGAAAACTGCCCATGAGCTCCCGGGCAGGCATTTTAGTTTTTCATTTCTTGTCTCTGTCCTTTATTTTTGGGCACCACAGATTCTGCAGATTGGGTTAGAAAACAGGTTTATATCACACTAAACCAGGCTAACTCCTTTGGGAACCGTTACATGGTGAAAATGCCAGCCAGTAGAGCCCTGTGTCACCCTCTGTCCCTCATTAGCATGTGCTGCCACTTTCTGAGCCTGGTAGGATGAAGGGGGAAAGACACCTCTGCATCTCCAGGGTCCTGAAGAATCGCCGCCTCCATGAACAGGATGGTGACTGGCAGGTCCCCTTCCTTCAGCCGCTTTAAGCCTTCTTCGAATGCGCCTGGCCAGTCCTTGAAGGGGTTTTCAGTGTGGAAGTAATAGCCCTACAACACAGAAGGGCCGAAGGGATCTACCATTTACCACCTCATTCTCACATTCAGTAAGCTCTTTCTGAATTTAAATTAAATTAAAGCAATTAATTGAATTGCAATTAAATTTCTTATTTTATTTTATTTTTAATTTAATTTAAAATTTTCCATCACCATTTATCCCCTCTATGCCCGCTTCCACCCCCAGACCCTTCCCCCCTCAGCAATCACTACATTGTTGTCCATGTCCATGA